AGACGTATTCAAGTAAGAACCAGATTAAAACACCTGTAGTCATCAATTACAAACAAAGACAGGTATTTCTCTGGTTTAATGGGGAGGTGAAGGGCCCGGCCGCCTGTGGGTAAATCTCAAGGACTGATGATCTGAAGTTAATAACCAGAGTCCCGGGTCGAGGTAACTGATAGTCTCACTTGTCTGTTGCAGCGAGTGAGTCACTATGGTTTACCTGCAGCAGTATGTAAGTCGAGCCAAAGTAGCCTAAGACAGAGCTGTGAGATGGTAGTGGCGCTGAGAAGGGAGAGGCTGGCTGTCTGATGGGTAAGTGAAGGTGTTTTTTGGCTGTACTGTACTGTACTTCGTCCTCTTGAGGGCCACTTAAGGATCAACAAACGATAACTGTAAAGTACTTACTAACTAACTGGCTTAGTTCAGCCACTTGTAGTTGTCACCTGATAATTGAGGACAATTTTTCAATGACCTTCGGGGATCGAACCCAGTATCCTGCCTTGCCACGGCGACACGTCATCACGTACACCAAGGCTCCTACTGGTGACGGAGTCCCAGAGTGTTAAGGATTCACACTGAGATGTTTACACCTTAACCAGTATTATTTGGACCTGACCTGACCTGACCTGACCTAACCCATCCCCAGATCAACAAGTTAGTGTAATTTCCAGATTTAGTGACCATTAAACCTGTCAACACGTTCTGGTTATTTCACGCCCAGAGGAAAACGGAAATTGCTGACACGTGATTGGCTGAAATGAGACATAGTTTATGATACCAACAGCGGCTATGATTCGTCGGGGAATATTGCTTAAATGGGTCATAAATATTTGTAATGTTTTTATTGTGTTTTTTTTCTTTTGCGTTTGTCATACTTACTAGAATTGCCCCCTGCGCGCGCACACACACACACACACACACACACACACACACTTATCACACATTTCTCCTCCCACATTCAACACTCAGCGATCTGTTTATATTTCATGAAAAAAAAGGAAATTGATGAGATTTAGATAAAAGGAGAAGACGTAGAGCGAGAGAGAGAGAGAGAGAGAGAGAGGTGGGGGGGATGGGGGGTGGAGGCGTGGTGGTGTACTCAAGTCTAATGTAAGTTTAATATAGTTCTCAGAGTGTCACAGCGGGGAGTGTTATGTGGTACAGCTGACACAATACGCCTGCCAGCTTTATTTTAAAAACTTTCTATTTTACACTGAATAGCGAGCGATGAAGGCAAGGTCTCTTTCTGTGTCATAATGTTGTTGTTGGTGTTGTGGTTGTTGGTGTTGTTGTTGCTGATGTTGTTGGTGGTGGTGGTGGTGTTGCTGTTGATGTTGTTGTTTTTGTTGGTGAGCTGAAGTTGTTGTTGTTGTTTTTATTGTTGTTGTTGATGTTGTTGTTGGTGTTGTGGTTGTTGGTGTTGTTGTTGCTGATGTTGTTGGTGGTGGTGGTGGTGTTGCTGTTGATGTTGTTGTTTTTGTTGGTGAGCTGAAGTTGTTGTTGATATTGTTTTTATTGTTGTTGTTGATGTTGTTGTGTCAGTTGTAGTTGACCAAGATGGAGGTCTACCTCATAATACAGTATTGTACTGTATATAGTGGGACGTAAAGCCTTTCCTGTGTAAACCTGTCATTCGTTTGTCTGTCCCGCCATTGTTGTTTTTTTTTTGTACACAATAACATTCGTGTGTATGTGAGAGAGAGAGAGAGAGAGAGAGAGAGAGAGAGAGAGAGAGAGAGAGGTGTGTGTGTTACTGGGGCTTCGTGTACACTACTATATATACTGACATACTTGCACCTGTGTTATGAAGCCGTGAGTACACAAGCTACAGTACCGATACAGTTTCAACAGTAGCTGTAGATGAGGAAGTCACTGCGGTACTGTAACTTTCTGTACCCGATTTCCGGACTAGAAAGAATAAAAAGTTCCACCTTTAAGTTGTTTTATGAGAGCGGCCATTAGCGTGTTGGTAGTCCTCACTTCCTCTCACTCAATGTTGATATTTTGTGGGTGGGAGAGGCGGTGTGTTTTATGTTTAGTCATCACTGTTTTTCTTAATTATCACTGTTTTTATGTTCCACTGTCATAATATGTTCAGTGTTTTGGGTACATGTCACTGTTTACTTGTTATGCTAAACACACACACACACACACACACACACACACACACACACACACACACACACACACACGGGAATGATTCAGGTGTGATGACATGGTAGGATCAACACTTGACACTCACACTAGGTGGTCAGGGTTCAGACCTCTCCCCTTGGACGGTATGGTTATTACATATAATCACTGCCGCCTGTGTGTGTGTGTGTGTGAGGGGGCAGTAGAGCATGGCGTGGTGGACGTGAGTCATGGGAGGCTGTACAATACTGAGTGTTTACCACCAACCAACACACTAACCGCCTCCCACCGTTAACACCATCACACCTACTACTGTTATATTGCTTTACATTCTCTTCATGCTAAACACACACACACACACACACACACACACACACACACACACACACACACACACATCAAAAACAGTGTAAACAATATATCTAATGTGTTAGGACGATGCCAAGTCTTCCCCGACAATAGTCTCATTTGAATACGAGAGAGAGAGAGAGAGAGAGAGAGAGAGAGAGAGAGAGACTGAACTCTGAACCTCTCCGGACCATAACTGAAGGCTTTGAGTGCCATCATAACCTTTAAACAACGAAGACTCAACCCCTAGAGTACCATAATTGAACCTTTAAAAAGTGAGTACATTAGTTGAACCCTTATGGAGAACTTATCACTTGTCACTTCCTCGTCCACAGTAACTTTGCTCTCCCAAATATCGTGTAATAAGTCATTCTGTAACGTAACGCGAAAAACGTTTTATGCACCCGGGAAAAAAATAGCAGAGGAAACGTTTTTTTTTGTGTGACGAAGGAAACATTTTTTTTGTGATGGAGGAAACATTTTTTTTGTGATGGAGGAAACTATATTCTTTATCAACATCATCTTATTCGTCTGTCTTGTCTAGAGAGTAAATGTAATGATGAATGTGACTTACGTTCTCTTAACAGTTGATTCTGGCAACTCATGTTTACAAGTCCCTGATTTTAGTTGTTATTTTACTCTAAGTTGTGAGGTATGTAATATATAAGTTGTCATGGGTTCTGTGTGTGTGTGTGTGTGTGTGTGTGTGTGTGTGTGTGTGTGTGTGTGTGTGTGTGTGTGTGTGTGTGTGTGTGTGTGTGTGTGTGTAGTGATTCACCCTAAGAGAGTATCGATCTGTCGTGTAAAGCTCTTTAACTGCGTTTAGTCATCCTTGTATTAGTCACCAACTTCTTTCTCAGAATTAACATCAATGTCATATTCTCTACACTAAACATTCCTCACCGAGTCTTTATATCATTACAAGTGTACTGAGATCCGGTATAACTTAATATATCTTTTCAGTGGATTGCTTACGTGATATATGTGATATACTCAACTATACTACGAAATTAAATGAGGGATATCTTTTTACCTTTATAACTTTTAATATAGACTTTGAATAATTTGAGAAACACTTGTGCCTGAGTGATCGTTTTCTATGTTATTTGTCAGGTATATCGTTGAGGGCCTCCCGGTGTGGTGGAACGGAGTGTGTTACGTGATGTTGTTGTTGTTCCGTGAGGTAGCAACAGTGAAGCTACAGGGGTGATGGTCGGTGTGTGGGGCAGCTACTGTACGTGCTGTCACACATCTGTCCTCTATCCTTCTTTGTATACATATCTGTCCTCCTCTCCTCCCTCATCTCATAACTGCTATCCTTTCCTCCTTGTCTTACCTGCACTCCTCTTCTACCTCATCCAAACACCTGTCTTCCTCTCCGTCCCCATCCTATACCTGTCCTTCTCTCCTTTACCCACACACCGGTCGTCCTACCCCCCCTCCCCCTTCATTCACTCCCCTACCCATCCTCACCGCCTCCCCTACCCATCCTCACCGCCTCCCCTACCCATCCTCACCGCTCCTCTACCCATCCTCACCGCTCCTCTACCCATCCTCACCGCTCCCCTACCCATCCTCACCGCCTCCCCTACCCTCCTCACCTCCCCTACCCATCCTCACCGCCTCCCCTACCCATCCTCACCGCTCCTCTACCCATCCTCACCGCTCCTCTACCCATCCTCACCGCTCCCCTACCCATCCTCACCGCCTCCCCTACCCTCCCTCACCGCCTCTCACTCGCCACTAACCGGACACTCCACCTTACAGTCCCAGGTATAAGGTACATTACCCCCCGTCTTAACAATGCATACAGCGTTACAACAGGTGGATCTAATAGCAGTAATTAGTTCTGGGTGAAAGAGGAGGAAGAGGGCGACCAAAGACACGTTAGTAATTTATAAATTAATGGTTTTATATCGCAGGAAGTTACAGTTTATTCTCCAAGGCAAAAAAGGGAGGCTTTTGTCTCAGCAAGGAGGCAACGTGTTCTCTGCCGTGAGTCATGTTACATTTGTCCTGTCTGACGGTTAGTTGTGCAGTAGCCAAGCGGATACAGATCTCTACTACTGTCCTAAAGGTCACTGGTTCACACTACAACGAATGAGAGTACTTTACAGTTGAGGAAAGTGAAGGCTGTCGAGTGTAGTGCCGGCCACGTTGTCTCCTTATGTATGAGAGAGAAAAAGCTTGGTTTACAGTGTGCTGTCCCCTGGTTGTCCTGTGCGGGGGCGTCAGGCCTATGGAACGCACTTTCATTTTCATTTCTTTATGTTGTCATGGAGATGGGTGTCAACATGGCCCTGCAATAAGCGTCATAAATATTTAGCTGCGAGAAAGGGGATCTGTTATCCATTTGTATTTCTTTGTAATAAACTTATTTTAATGATCAATTGAATGTTTTGATTTTGTGAAGTCGCGTGTTTATGGTAATGCAATATGCAAAACCGGGTTTGTTATTGTTTCTCGGCACGGTGGAGGCCACTGACTGAGCGTAACGTATGCTGTTGCCTCGGCAGTCGGCACCGACGCGCTGTCGCTGCCAGCTGATCCATTCAGTGACTCACGGAAGCTAGTAGTGAAGAGACGTGGTAACAGAACCACAGCATGACGTTCCTTGACACCGAGTTTATTGATGAGGAGTGAAGATTATCGTGGATATCGACGTTCGTGAAAACATTCGTGTTTACTAGTAACCTGTTAGTTCCTGGGAGCACCCACCTGCACAACAACTGGAATATATAAAGCTGACTGGACATCTCTACAAGACACGAGTGTTGATTATCAGGTAAGAAATTATACAGCGACATGAAAGTGTTAGGTGGGATCCTGAAGTCTTGGGCGGGGGTTACGGCGTGGCACTAACGGACCACTGCCCACACCTCCAAGACCGAGCACATTTCACTCCCGTATAAGAACTGAACAGCATGAGTGAACAAAGTTGATCACTGGTGTTGAACAAATTTTACAGCTCCGTAATATCATGCATCAAGATTCACGTTAATTTCTGTTGTTATTTATTTTTGGCCCATAGAGCACACCGTGAACGTTTACTATACACAAACGGGATCAAAACCAGTATCGTGTCAACTCTGCAACACGTTAAGTGATGCTGTGTGTCGGTCAGATGTTCAGGGTAGGGGTCAGTTGGGTCATTTGTTGTCTGAGGAAGTGTTATATACTGAGTTGGTGCTTCATGGGCACTGGCTCACGTCCAATCAAGAGGTTGTCCCTCTCTTACACACACACACACACACACACACACACACACACACACACACACACACACACTCCAGTACCCCATCCTTGTTAGCCTACCTCACGCCATAACAAAGTGTGTGTGTGTGTGTGTGTGTGTGTGTGTTACCTTGGCCTAAATAAACTGTTAATAAACCCACATATGTTGTAGGTGATCTTGGCATAAATCACTGTTGACTACATAAAGCAAGAATCAACTATACCAAATTTAATGAAGAAATAAGCCAGGCTCTTTTAAATCGGGTTGGATTAGGTCAGGTCAGGTTAGGTTAGGCTACGCTACGTTGACTTTGCTTGGATCGTGTCTTATTACGTGTGCAAGTGTAGTGTGTTACCTGGCGAAGAAATATGATGGATAACAGCAATGTTTGGGTTGTGGTGCTTGCTTTAGGCACTCACTCAAGACCAACAACATCAAGGGACTTTATAAACAAACACCGCCTCGTGTTGTGATGGCCAGGCAAAGGTTGGGGGTGTAACTTTGACCCAGTGGCTGTTGTATGATGTGGTTGTCGAGAGTTGTGATCGTCGAACACAGCGGTTATAGCTAATATTTTGTCAGTAACATAACAACAGTACGTCTGCTGGGAAAAGGCGGGAGAAGGGTTTGGAAATGCAGCTTCCACGAGCGTATCATTACAGGGTGGGGAGACATGACAGGTGAAGCTGATAGTTTGTGCTGGCACCGTCTAATGTACAGTGCACGCCAGACAGTTACGACCAACTCGGATAAAATTAGTTGACGTTCATGTGAGATAACTTCTTCCGTACTGCATGCTCTGATAACACCATGTACGGGAAGCAGAGGTTAAGGTGTGACATGCGACTTACAACACGAACAGGCGAGACTCAGCTCCCCGCCTTGTTTCTCCAACACGTCTCATTATCATCAGCAACACAATTCCGTCCATGAATGACACAAGTAAATGAATATGCGTGTCGCCGCTGTAGTGACGGTGAGGAAATAAAACACTGGGTTGTGCTGTTGTGGTAATATGTCTGAGCTGAACCCTGTACACTGTTGCTGTCAGTCAGTGTTACTTTTTGTTTGTTTTTTATAATACGTGGCCTCCAGCCTCCCCCAATAGCCACACCTTACTGCACCTCCTTCAGTACTTTCTTTGACGCGTAAACAAAACATCATTTAATTTCCTCTCAGGTATGGTATTTCGTCCGCTCCTCACATTATACACAACTTGTACATGAACACCAAATCGATAATTTATTAGCGAAATAAAAACACTAATATTATAAATATAAAAATCTCGGTCAAAATCTATTATTACGAAAGTAAAAAACAAAAACTGTAAGTGAACTTCAAATATTCTCAAAGATTAAGATTATGGGTAAAGTGATACAAAAATAACAATACTAAAAGTGATGCTTAATAATAATAAGACTCATATTTCAGTATCAGGACAAGTCGGAAAATCATAAGTTTAGCAACAATTACATACGATCGAATTGGGTAATATTAATATCTAAAAGTAATTACTCTAGGCCTAAATACAAGTCTAATTAGAATTACCAGATAAACCTTGAGTATATTAGAACTATTTAAAGTATATTAATGATACGAGTTTAAAAATAAGCCCAGAAGTTATTTACTGAGGACAGACTCTCTCTCTCTCTCTCTCTCTCTCTCTCTCGGAATACAACGGGTTATAATTCCAAATTTATACGAGAAAAAAAATGTCGCCAGTATGTAAGGAATGCTGACATGATTTATCGTAATGGTTATGTAGCTGATGAAGTATTCCCAGTAGCAGGTGCGTGAGGCGTGGCCACAGGTACACCGTCTACATAATGACTCAGGTAGCTCGTGTGGGCAGGTGTGACGTGTGTTGCTCTTACTTCCCGATACGTCAGCCACTCCGAGAAACACTTCGATGTTTATGTATCAAATTATCTCGTGTTAACTCTTGTGTTGTTTAAAAATGTTTTATATATATCTTGTAAACTTTTTCCCTCATGTTATCTCCTTGTATTTAAGGATCTTGAATCTAATTTTAAACATTCCAAAGAAAATTATCACAATGATGACTTCAAAGAAAGATGTTGTCTGTTTCCTGTAGAGAGAGACACTACTTTGTTTACCCTGTTTCACTGTGTCGTTTATGTTGTAAGGTTACCTGCTGTCTGTTTTACTTCCGGTAGTTGGTGAGGTTTTGGTTACCATGTCAGATCTTCCACTGCTGCCACACTCGTCAAGAATTCATATCAAGGAATTTTATTTTTTTATTTTTTTTGGTACTGTGAATGTCTCTGTTTTCCTCCAGGGTGATAATATCGTTTTGATTGCAGCTTGTCAACTTGTCCATCGAGGAGTACACAAGAACACAGTGCAACATGAATCAACGACAAGTTTCATCCGATTGTTTCATTTCACTTGTTGCAATGCTATCGTATTATAACTTCCTGTTGTAATCTTGGCATACTATATAACTTATTGTTGCAAATCGCCGTCATATAAAATGTGTGCAACATTGTACTGTCATATCATAACATTGTGCAACATTTGTTCTCTGTCTTGGTCGTGTCTTTCAAGGCTCTCAGAGTGTTGTTGTGAAAGTGTGGCCTGACGGGAACTTCATAGCTGTTTGTGTAACCAGCTTGAGAACTATTATAGATATACTGTATATATATAACTTACAGGTGGTTGGTGACGCTCTGGGTTTACTCTCTCTCTCTCTCTCTCTCTCTCTCTCTCTCTCTCTCTCTCTCTCTGTTTTGCTGTGAGATCGACCATATCTCAGTCCCTCAGTCCGTGTATACAACCTAACCTAACCAACAAAACCTTACCTTACGAGCCTAATCTATTCTGTGGTCAAGTTTCATTGCTTTTGGCTGGTTGTTTTGCGTTGTATAGGGTATCGTTAATGATTAGCTCCGTGATCCCTTCCTAACACCACAGCAACAGGATTCCAAGATCGCGCACGCATATTCCAAGATCGCGCACGCATATTCCGTGATCGCGTACGCATATTCCAAGATCACGTACGCATATTCCAAGATCGCGCACGCATATTTCAAGATCGCGCACGCACTTTCGAATATCGTGCACGCATATTTCAAGATCGCATGTAACGTTGGTAGTGTAGTGGGATTTATTAGCGTTGATGGGCACACACACACACACACACACACACACACACGAGACAGATAATGGTCAACACTTATGAAAAGAATAATTTAAATCTAATGTTTGCACCTGAAGCACCACACACACACCTGAACAAAGCCTCGAGACCATTAACTAATTAACAACAAGAGTTTTAACAGGTAGCGGAACTCTGTGTGTGTGTGTGTGTGTGCCAATGGATGAAACATTCTCCAATGACCTTAACTTTGGTGTCGTGTGGCGGAGCTCTGTGCACCTCCAACAGTGTGATCCTACATACATACATACATACATACATACATACATACATACATACATACATACATACATACATACATACATACATACATACATTCCCAGCTCTAACTAAAAGAGCTGAGAAAATACAACGAACGAAATATTCTTTGGCTTTGGTGTCTGTTAAGTGTGATAATTTGGTTGTAAGTGTGTTGTATAAGTGTTTGTAACCCTGGATGACCGAAGAATTAGCTAGTTTAAGTATTAGCCAAGTGTGTTTGTATACGTTGGTAACCTTGATTATAAGTGTAAGTGTTGGTAACCCTGATTAAGACATATCCTGGGCGAGGTCTTAAGTGTTAAGTGTGTGTACTTGTATTCTTGAGTAACTTATAAGTGTTAAGTGTGTTACTATATATTGTTAAGTGGATAAGTCGATGCATGATTTAATATACTGTAGTAACCTTGATGAACTTGTGACGTTAAGTGATGGGTCGCATGTCTTGACGCGGGGGGCGGGGGGGGGAGGTGAGATGTGGACCAGATGATGTAAGATGGTGGTCGTGGTATTGGTAGTGATGGTGGTAGTAGTGGTAGTGGTGGAGGTCACAAGATATTGGTAGTGATGGTGGTAGTAGTGGTAGTGGTGGAGGTCACAAGATGTTGGTAGTGATGGTGGTAGTAGTGGTGGAGGTCACAAGATGTTGGTAGTGATGGTGGTAGTAGTGGTAGTGGTGGAGGTCACAAGATGTTGGTAGTGATGGTGGTAGTAGTGGTAGTAGTGGTGGAGGTCACAAGATGTTGGTAGTGATGGTGGTAGTAGTGGTCACGGTACGCTGATGATGGTGGTCATCCAACCCACTGCGCCCATTCCTCCTATGTGGTCAGCCCCTGGTCTGGCCGTGACCCTAACCAGAACAGACTCGTCGCCTTCCCCGGGTTATTTACTCCGTCTTGTGTTGGGTTTATCGTAATGGTTTCTGGGAACAGTTGAAGGTGACGACATCCTGAATACATCTTTAATCAACACCGATAACTACAATGAAACTTGGTGGCGACATAATGGCCCTAAGAGATTACCTTCCTCTTCTGTATTAAATAAAAAGTTATGGTGTTTTATCACACATTCAAACTGTTGTATGGAATTGGGTTGAGAATGTTTGTATGTTGTCAGAATGTTGAGGTATTTGTCAGTCATCAGTAGGGAGGAGAGGCACACGCCCACAACATTTACAATTACAAAGAAAACCTGACTGATCGGCCACGCCCTCTGGGGGGTGATGCACGAGGCGTTTCCTGTCAGGTGTCAGTCAGGTCGGTGACATGTGAATCCACGGAACTTGTTTATATTGTCTACCTACGAATATTTCTTTACAACGTACACAGGCTCTATGCTATAAGGGATAATTAAGCCTCTGCGAATTATTCTTGTTGTGCATTGTCATATTCACAGCACACTGCCACACACCAGGTGCTCGCTCACCCTTTGTTACCTTCACAATGCAATTTATGGTTTATCGACGAACACATTTTACTATGGCGCGCCTGAATACTAAAGCAGCGCAAGCGTTATGAGTCTCGTGCAGTGTTCCCTTTTCTCAGTGGCGCCACGATACTGCAGCTCCACCCCCAGCCACCACCTACAGGAAGCCTGAGCGGGTCTTTCACACCACAACACTGCTAGATGCCTCTCTGTGTCCTACCCTGGCAGTATAAATTATGTGGAACGAATTAATGCAATCCTGGAGAACAAAGGAGAAGGTGCTTGCGCTCTACACCCTCAAGAAGGACGGGGGGTGGCGTGGTGTGGTGAGGAAGACCCTGGAGGCTTCCTGTTGGTGGTGGCAGACGGTGGGAGAGCCTGCACACAGGAGCCCACTAATCCCTGCACATCCTTACCACACTGTCCTCCTCGACTTTCAGTGTCTATTTGTCGGCTCTTCTCTTGTTATCTTGACTCCCTCATCACCGTTCCTTCTCGTAACTTTCTTTACCTTTCTTACCCTCACTTTCTTTCCTCCGCCGTTACTGTCTATCTACCCTCACTTTCTTTCCTCCGCCGTTACTACCATCACTTTCTCCTCTTTACGCTACTGTATTTGTCCTCTTATCACCTTTTTTGTCTTTTTCTTTTCCTACTCTGTTCTCTTCTCGTTCTTCACACCTTATACACATCCGCAGTTCGATGATTCACGTCTAGTTATTACATCTCCAGCTGCTTGTTTGGTGAGGTACAGTCTCTTTCATCTTGTTGGTTTCTGGTCTAGTTTTTGAGGGAGTCGAAGCAACATTTTAGTGAAACGGATACCCTCCCCCCTCCCCCCTCCCCCTCAACCCCCTCAACCCCCCTTCCCCCAAATATCTGGTAACTCAACGCAGGTATTAAATTTTCTTCGTGGAATCAAGATGTCTATCACGGAAACTGACAATCCAAAGTGTCTTTACGATTTGTGTCAAGACAATATAACACAACGGACGATTTTGACTACCCTGCCGAGGATTATGATAAATGATAAACAGCTGTAACGGAACCCTCCCTTATGACCAACCACTTTAATGATTATTTTATTCATGTTGGCAAAAATCTTGCAGAGAGCATCCCTGATCACCATGACGAATTTAGAGCCTACCTGCAAAACAGACAGCAAAATGAGCTGTTTTTATCCCCTATCACGTTATATGAATTACTGACCACCATAAAAATGTCCAAAGATGCAGCAGCAGGTGACGACAATATACCAATAAGCCGTTGAGATACTTTTTTGGAGTGTTACATTAGCATCTCTGTCTGTGGTTTGTTATGGTAATGGGTCATGCCAACGACCTCCCCCCACCCGCGGCTGTCACGTGTGGTCTCGTTGTCATCACCTGCGGTCTCGACCTTTCATGACTGCCAGTTCTCCCGACGTCACCATCAAGAGATTTCCTTTTTTTTTATATTAACCCGGAACTTTCTTCCTTGGCCATATTTACGACTGGTAACAATTGATCTAACGACGAGTGAGTTGAGACGGAGGGCTGACGATGCATTAAAGTGTGTTACCAAAATATTAGAAAAGGAGAACTTAGGAAGGAAAGGTAATAATTGTTCTTTAAAATGTAACTTTTTTTTTTACACAGTAGTCCGAAATTTTTTGCGAATGTTAATGTGTTATATATTTTTGTTAATGGTATTTCGTTTGGATGTTACGTAAAGAGACGATGTGAGAGATTTGAGGATAAGAAGAGAGAGAGAGAGAGAGAGAGAGAGAGAGAGAGAGAGAGAGAGAGAGAGAGCACATAATCAACACTTAATGGTGAAACAGAAAAAGTCAATGAATAAGTTGCAGAGATGTGACTGAGGAGAAAGAGGGAGTAACAGGTTGACAGATGACTCACAGGGCCGAGCGCTGTGTGGAAGGAAGACCCGACAGGAAACAGACGATTAATAAAGCCAAGATGGAGAACAAGAAGACTAATTAACCAACAGAATAATTACACATAATAAGTTGTTACAGACATGATAATTCAGGGCGTGACCCATTTGTGCTGTGACAACCACTTGCAGGGCTAGCAATTAGGGAGAGCGGGGTGTCTAATCTTCAGGTGAATCGAAAATTGTTTGTTTACATGGGGTGTTTCACGTGTTAATCATCCAGGCACCACAACACTTGGCTCAGGTTGGCGACATGCTGTGTGGTGACGTCTGATTGTGTGTTGGTGGATCAGAGCAGTGCCTTAAGTCATTCTGCTTGCATTACCAAACACACACACACACACACTCACCGCTCTCTCTATCTCTCTCTTAAAAAACGTGTTTAGGAAATTTATTCAAGGGATTTTTTGGTTCGATTTAGAAAGTTTCTCTTCTGGTAGCGAAGTGGCGCAGAGTGACAGGGTGGTGGTGGTGGTGGTGGTGGTGGTGGCGGCGGCGACGGTGACAAAGGTGATGGTGGTGAGAGAGGCCGGGAGGCAGGTGTAGTACAGAGCGAAGGACAGGTAACGGGAGGTAGTGAGAGGGAGGAGGAAGAGGGCGCATGTCATCACAAGTTGGATGGTGGAATTATTTCGGAAAACCCGAGACCTCCTGGAACTGCACAGAGGAGCTGGAGGCGATTAGATAATTATTGGGGATAGCAGAGAAGGTAGCCCCTGAGGAGGACAGAACCAAAGGAAATGGGTAAGGAGTGGTCCCTGGGTGATGGGATAGGGGAGGAGGAGAGTATGTGGGTTCAGGTGATGGGATAGGGGAAGAGGGCGGTATGTGGGTTCTGGATGATAGGATAGAGGAGGAGGAGGGTATGTGGGTCCTTGATGCCGTACGGGAGGGGCGAGGCGCGGCTCCACGTATACAACAGAGAGGACAGGGTGATGGGGTGCGGCCAGTACACCTTGACCAGTTTTCCTCTGATCCACCTGGAAACTTGACTATCTCGGCCAAGTTGAGAAATTTCACCTTATTTCTTCAGGGGAAGAGAGTGGGTGTAAATAACTTGTCGTGGATTCAGTAAATCGCTGTCTTCTACAACCTGTCGCTATATGAAGTCACTATGGTATGATCTCAACGAGTGATAGTCTCTGGAACTTGAAAAGATCAACAGTAACGTTAATAACAAGTTAGTGACTCAAACCTAGACTGAAAGACCTCAACTCACGTATCAGGAATAGTTTCTCGATGCCCCTGACACTATCTTCAGCTGTGATCTCTTTCCTGTACCCAAAACTGTAGTCATGAGCGTCGAAAATGTATTGTTGAATGTGACTTTACCGCCTTTATTGTTGTGTTTGCTAACTGGTGTGTTTCTGTGCTCCAGGTATGGCGTGTCGTTCTTCACTGTGACCAACGTGTGTTAAGTTCTCCTCTTATGTGAGTTTGACCATTTTATTATCGTTCAGAGGCCGCTATTTCTTGTATCATCAAACTAACAAATACTCCAGGGTGATTCTCCACCTACCTACAATACATATTCAGGAGATAAAAACTACATATTTTTTGGGGTACAGTTATCAGCTTAGTACTGTACTATACACTACAGTTACACGAGGATACACCCTGTTTGTTTACTTTACATTATTACCAAATATTAGTTATAATGTTGAGTATATGGCTGGATAATGAGAATGCATCATAAGAGTACAGCAATGAACGTAAAAATATATATAGAATTCGTATCATTGATATTGGATAACTGTGTATTGTTTAAAGGCAGTGGTGGTATGTGGAGTAATTCAGTACACACACACACACACACACACACACACACACACACACACACACACACACACACACACACACACACACACACACACACACACACACACACACACACACACACACACACACACACACACACACACACACACACACACACACACACACACAACGTAAACACCTAGAAAGTGCAAAAGAGGGCATGCAAGATTATTCTCTCCCCTTCCTACTCCACATATCAAGAAGCGCTCAACACACTGACCCTTTCGACTCTCACTGACCATCACCACGACCTCATCTGCAAATTTGGTAAGAAGCTTCTACACCATCCCCGACACCGGCTCCTACTACCACCTGAGATCCCTAGCCCGAGAATTGCTGTTCGACACCACAACCGCATCCAGCCCATACATGCACGAACTGATCGCTATAAGAACAGCCCAGTCCCAACCATTGTAAAAATTATCAATAACTTGTAATAAACCAGTGTATTCACTCCCTGTAAATACTACTTTTTTCACTGTCACTATGTTGAAATGCACTGTAGTTTGAGCTTTTCCCCATCTAGTTATTATATATCTTATTTGTATCACTATGTTACTTGTATATTATTTGTAATTCGAAACCCATTCCCCAAATATGTAACTGTATATTTTCAGCCTTCTGGCTGCCAAGCTCTTTCAATAAACCGTTATTATTATTATTATTTACAGACACACACACACACATACACACACACACACACACACACACACACACACACACACCAGTAACAGGACCCAGCTGGTGACCGCCTTCCTCCTCGTGTGACGCTCTGCTCCACAACGTCACAAGCCTAGCACATGACCCATCCCTCCCTCACACCACAACCATACCTCACCTCCCTCACACCACAATCATACCTCACCTCCCTCACACCACAACCATACCTCACCTCCCTCACACCACAACCATACCTCACCTCCCTCACACCACAACCATACCTCACCTCCCTCACACCACAACTGCACCACACCTCTCTCATACTACCACCACACCACACTCTATCATGTATCTGTAATCAGTCTAGTTTGTAAAGTGACACATTAAGTTAATACTGGGTAATATCTGACACACTCACATAGTAGATATTTCTCTGTGTTTGTCTCAACGAAAAAAATATGTTCAGAAGACCGAATAATATTGAATAAACTAAATAGGAGATGTGATGAGGATGTTGTCTGTACCACAGTAGACTGCTAGAGCAACTACTGTACAGTCACCTAACGAATAGTAAACATAACGCTGGCGGGCAACTGAAAAGTTACAAGGATAGTCTTAAGACAAACCTGAAAAAGTGCCAAATCGACCCCCTCACCTGGGAGACGATTACTCCACACCGTAACGCTTGAAGGAGCACCACACGAGAAAGTGTCAGTGCTTTCGAGTTAGCCCGACTGCATACCGAAGTAGACAAGCACCAACGCCGAAAAGACGCTGCCGCCGACCCTCCCGCACTAGATATAGCCCTCCACACGTGCAACATCTGTGGACGACCCTGCTGGTCTCGTATCGGCCTCTTTAGTCACCTCAGAACTCACCAACGAAGGTGACATCCTTATTAACTTATATCATTGTATCATAGCTGGATGATCGTCATACTCGATTCCGAGTCACAGCAAAGTAGTAGTAGTAAAGTGTGTGGGGGGGGTGTGTGTGTGTGTGTATGGAGGGGGTGGTGTGTGTGGGGGATGGGGGGGTGGTGTGTGTGGGGTGGTGTGTGGGGGTGGTGTGGTGGGGTGGGGGTGGGGGATGGGGGGTGTGGGGGTGGGGGGTGGGGGTGGGGTGGGTGTGTGTGGGGATGGGGTGTGGGGTGTGTGTGGGGGTGGGTGTGGGGGGTGTGTGTGTGGGGGTGTGTGTGTGTGTGTGGGAGGGGTGGTGTGTGTGGTGTGAGGGGTGGTGTGTGTGTGGGAGGGGTGGTGTGGGGAGGGGTGGTGTGTGTGTGTGTGTGGGGTGGGGGGGTGGTGTGTGTGTGTGGGGGTGTGTGTGTGTGTGTGAGGGGGGGTGTGTGTGGTGTGTGTATGTGGGGGTGGTGTGGAGGGGGTGTTAGAGGGGTAGAGTGTGGAGGAGGGGGATAGAATGGGTATAAGGAGCCTTGACGCATCCCCACTCGTCTCGTCCCGTGGGTAATATTGACCTAATTGTTGTACCCTTGGTGTCGCTCTTGCCGGTCTGACCTTGTGACCGCACGACCTTACCACTGGTGGGGGGTTGGCACTCTCTTCTCCCTAAAGAAGTTAATAGTAATGATAAGAATTATGTTATTATTGCTGTTGTTAGTGTTGTTGTTGTTGTTTGTTGTTGTTGCTCATTACACACTCCGCTGACCTTGCCTGACCCACTACTCTGGTTGGCCACACTTCCCTTGACACTGAATGACCCGCAGCTTCAGTAACAGTCAACACAGATTGTTTAGTTAACAATGTGTACACGAGGTCTGTGGCACTGACAAGGCTCTCTCTCTCTCTCTTAACCATAAAGGGTAGAAACAGAGAGAGAGAGAGAGAGAGAGAGAGAGAGAGAGAGAGAGAGAGAGAGAGAGAGAGAGAGAGACTTTACTACTCCAGCACATTCCAGTATATTCTTAAGCACGCACGATGCCATAGAGGCAACTGGACAAACATGGGACAGATTAAGATGTCATGTAAGATTACTAATCCCCGAATGTAATTAATGGCGCCAATATTCCCCGCCCGATTTAGTACAACAGCATATGAATAATTAAACCCCCCCCACCCCCCACCTCCCCTCTTCAAATTATGTACGACAGTTTCTACACGGCGGAAATCACTCTGCCAGACGTACAATATATAAACTGAATGACACTTTAATAATACCAGTTATAAACATCATTGTGATACGGATAGACATACAGACAGACATAGTTGCCAATACATATAAATATAGAAACAAATAAACACGGACATAAACAGACATACAAAAAAAACCCACTGACAAACAATAGTTCACGCAAATAAACACAAATAAAAGCAGAGTCAAATGAAGAGAAACAAACGAAAACAGACATAGATAAACACAGACATTTAAAACAAACATAAATACAGACATACTTAAAACAGACATAAATACAGACATACTTAAAACAGACATAGATGGAGATGAAAATGTTTATCAAGCGAGCGACTACAGTTTTGAAGGCCAATGTTCTATATAAAGGAGAAACATGTTGACTGATGTACCACAAACTTATCACCGGAAACTGCCAGAGGACGCGGCCAGATAAGAAAGACTGTGGGCTGTGGGTAGGTGTGGGGGCTTGGACTGTGTATGGGCTGTGTTGAGGTATGGGGCGTGGGCTTATTTAAGTATGAGGAGGGCAAGCGCAAGATACTAAGCGATGAAACACTTGGAGATGAGATCAACTGAACTTTTTAGGCACCCCGAGGGATCAACTGAACTTTAGCTTAGGTTAAGTTAGGTTAGCTTAGGTTATATACCATAAGAGAGTGTAAAAAAACCTAAACCATTATACAACCTCGTGTAAACTGGTGTGTGTGTGTGTAATGCGACCTGCAATACCGGATCACAGGACTGATACGTGGTGGGCAGGTAGAGTTACAGGTCTGGGGGCACGTGATTGTTTGTAAATAACGTCTATGTACCGTAACCTGTTTACTCAATGCTGGTATTTTTGGCCTTGGACAAATCACGTGGTCCTAATGATGTCTCCAACACCACCGTAATACCACCTGACTCCCACCACCACCACCACCTCCTGCCCTATTATTTACCCCCATCACCACCTCCTCCCCCATTATTTACCCCCATCACCACCTCCTCCCCCATTATTTACCCCCATCACCACCTCCTCCCCCATTATTTACCCCCATCACCACCTCCTCCCCCATTATTTACCCCCATCACCACCTCCTGCCCCACGTCACCTGAAGATCAGTATAAGTACGACAACAAACAAAATAACTAATTACTTCTCTAATTATATATCATTATAGTTACCTGCTAATTAGTCCAAAATGAGACTAATTTGCCAGGTGGAGTGGTAAGGAGGAGGAGCCGAGAGAGAGCCACACAATACCCCTCCATCGATGGCTCCTCCCTCCCTCCATCCTACAAGCTGTTACCTTAATACCCAGTAATCAGGACCTCATTATGATAACATGGGGGGGGGGTGATGGCTGGAGTTAATGAGGAGGCTGAGTAGAGGGTAGGATGTGTCGAGGAATTGGCGAGAAGGAGTCATTGAAAGGATGGTTATGGGGGAGGGAGGGTGAGGAGGAGGATAAGTACTGTGGAGGATTAGGCAGGGTGATGGAGGAGTATAATAGGAGTGTGGAGGATTGGGTAGGGTGGAGGTACTGTCAGGATGATGGAGGAGGAGTAGCTAGTAAAAGTGTGAAAGATTAGGCAGGATGAAGTCAGTGATGGGCCATGTAAGGTCACAACACAGTCACCTATATATTAATAATGCCATCCGCTCCTGTTCGTTATGTTGGTACTGCTGGACTGTGGAAAAACTTGATCCACTTCACCTAGTTTGGTTTTCTGTATAAAGATTAAAGTCTACCTTGAGAACAGTTAGAAATTTAATTACGTACGTATAATGGTGACAATGGTACGGTTGTTTAAGAGCTCTC